GTGTGTGTGTGTGTGTGTGTGTGTGTGTATGTGGTGTGTAATATTTAATGATAGATTTAGCGTTGTTTTACGATCTTTTTAATCGAGATTTTTTTTGGTTTATACATAGATGATTTCTTTATCCTGCGATTTTTGAGAACTTGCAAGTTTAATGTCGAGAAAACTAAAATGAGGATGCAAAATTATTATAAACAACGATCTGATTTACCAGAATGGTTCATGAATAAGGATCCATTTCAATCGGAACTGCAGGAGTTACTTAATATGGGGTAAAGACCATTATTTTGAAATATTTATTGAATTCTATCAAAAATTTTTGAATGTTACTAAATGCATTTAATAACTAAAAAGATATATTTCTTCAGAAAATTCTGAAGTACTTTGTTTGCGTATTTAGATTATTTTTACCCTTGCGAAAGCGAGACAATCAAGGAAGAGTGGTTATCATCATACGTGGCACTCGGCACGATCCGAGAATACACAAAATATCGGACATATGTAAGGTAAAAATTGAAGTAATATAATCTCATTTGCAATGGAAGTTATTCTGAGGAAACAATACTTTAATTCATTTTTGTTTTTTCAGATTGGTGTGCTGGCGACAGAAATGGCGACGAAGAATTACAACGCGATATCCGTGTACGGTATTGCATTGTTTATAGACGTGGCCAATCCAACAATGCGTCACGCTGTTCAAATGCGACCCCATGTAATAATGAATTTAGTCCACTGTTGGCAGAGCTCTTATCCTATAAGAGTTTCCGTTTTGAACATAATTAACGCGCCGGAATATGTCAACGTTGTCCTAAAGATTTTCAGGTCTTTCATGAACGAGAAGATGAAGAGCAGATTGAACGTTTATACGCAAAAAACGATGCAGGATTGTTTCAAGGATATCCCAGTTAACATCTTGCCCGTCGAGTATGGTGGCACTGATGGTACACTTCAGGAGTTAACAGGTAATTACGTAAATTATGTAAAAACGAAATAAATGGCGGCATGCTTAGCAAAGGATATTTCTTCTTAAGTAAGTATTGTGAAAAAAAAAAGGAACTACTCACGGTTAAAAGATCGCAGTAATTGCCAGCAATCGTAACGAGCATTATAAGCTTGTTGAGAATTCATCTGAGTTTAAAATATATATTTGTGTAATACTTGTTTAATCCTTTCTAGTGATACATATATCCAGAATCTTTAAAAAAATCATATTTTTGGTAAATATTAAGCTATAGTAATATATAGTTAATAGTATTAGTAATATATAATATATATAGCTTCAGTTCAATCAGAGTTTATTTTAAAGAAAATTGTTTAAGCTTTAATTGCAAAATATTGGAATAAATACAATCATAAGATTTAAAAAATTATTTAGAAGAAGGATTGGAAAATTTTCGAACTAATACTGTGTAATACTGTTTAATAAAATTTGACCTATTTTTTGCAATAGTTTGAATATCATTTCCGAATAATCTTGTCAAAATTTGACTATCATGTATATAATAATTGTTGAGCTTTGCCAACAATTATTTTCGTATTTAATAACTTAAAAGAGTCCATTATAAACAATTTTATTATAACATTGATAACATTTTATTGGATAATAATTTCTTGGATCTGCTATATTAGATTCGCTATTTTGAATTTTTATGTTTTGGTCTCATTTTTATATTCATCGATTCTCTAAACTTTTAAAAATAACAAAACAATATGTTTTCCATTTCTGAAAAAAGTTTAGACTTGAAAGAATGTTAAACTCAAGCAATTATAAATTTAGTTTATATAATGCAAACATTTACTTTTTCAGAATATTGGAAGAACCTGATCGAGGAAAATCGCGATTGGCTTATTAGTGACGAGAATGACCAACTTATCGTTTCGAAGCAGTAGATTCAGAATTGATATAAAATATTTACTTTTAATAGTTGAATGTATTTACTATTATATAGACGGCAAATTTTGATTTTTTTATTTTATGAGTTTGTCATAAAAAAAATATTATCATTTTCTTTTTCGCTGTGAATAATAATCATACCGATAATAAAAAATAAAATGAAATATAAAAAAAAAGAAAGTTTAAGAAAGTAAAATACTTTTAAGAAAATTTATATTTTTAAATTATGTAAAAACATGGAAAAAATATGTGTATTTCGTATTTAGAACATATTTCATTTGATTTTTTTCATTATGCATGTATGAATACATGTACAAATTAACATTTATGTGCAAGCATAGATTTTAAATTATACACACAAATTATTCACACATGTATAATTAAAAAACAGCATTAAATATTATAGATACACTTTATGCACATATTATTTATTTTCTGACATTATATATTTTTAAATTAAATATAAAATTCATACCTTTTCTATTAATTTGGAATTATATACATTATCAATTTGTAATTTCTAACTATATATTATAACATATCATATATTATAATAAGTGTAGTGTGATATGAAAAAAAATATATATATCATCATATTTTTAAATAAGCAAAAATAAATCAGCAATGCAGGAAAACAATAAATTCTCTTACATTTTTTTTTCAAGTGGCAAAGATGCTAATATAATTATAGATAATATATTATAGATAGCTAATATATATTTTTATGAAAAATTATGTTTTATTTAAAAGATGAAGATAAGAAAATTGATATGCAGTGTAAAATGAAGAATTTAGCAATTAAGTTCTAGGTTCCTTGGCGTATTTTTCCATGAGAATTGATAACGTTTATCATAAGCACTTCTTACAGAGAATTCCTGTATTTGTTGCGTTATTTATTGCAGATGGCACAGTTTTATTGAAGTTAATTTATCAAAAATATATAATAGCAAAGATTATGCAGAAAAATTCTCAACAATATATTATTATACAGTACAATCAATATGGATACTCAGCAATGGAATGTGAGTTCGCGTAGAATCATTCGTCATATTATTAGCTACTTCCAATAAAATTAAACATGACAGGAACGTATTATTATAGTAACAGGACATAGAAAAATTATAAACAGTTATAAATAAAGCATAAGTAGTATTCTTATCGTTACTATATTCAATCCTGTTTTTTTATTTATTAACAAGGTGAAATGGTCACGTGACGCGGGAAACAGAGATCGAGAGTGTACGAAGTACCCATACTGTGATGTCACTCGATGCATTTTTGATCTTATTTATTCGTTGGTGTCGCGTCATACTGACCTCTGTGATTAGAAGACGCAAGTTGTACACTTACTGTTATGATGGTGAGTGTTCACCAATGTTGGAAGCTAACGAACGAGCAGAAAATTTATGCAAAGACACATTTAAATAAGACCGATGAGATTAAGAGAAATGCTGTAGCAGAAATTAAACGTTGGATAAAGGAAAGCAACAACTTTTGCGTACGAACTGATAAAAACAACAGCAATATTATTATATCTCTTATAGAAATTTATAGAAATTTAATACTGGAAGGTAGTGACTAATTATTTTGAACATTAAAAACACCGTTATTTAATGTTTTTAATATACAGAATAGGTAGTTTCCAATATTAAACTGACCAGTATAATAGAATATTTCTTCATTTATTCTTTAGCCTCAAAAGTCAAGAAAGAAATTTGATTTACAATTTTATTTAAATCACTT